TAAAAAAATTAAGCTAAGTTTTCTAATTGCGGTCGTCCCTCGACAGGGAATGTCTACCCCTCCGAGTGTATTTCTGACATGAAAAAAAGCTCCTCATAAAAAAACCATCAGCCGTTCGGAGGCGGCTTAGTATCAAATAAATTAAGGTCCCTTCATTTTGGGTCGAAATCATCAAAACGTAAAACCATAAATTGGAGGAGGAGCTCGGTCGAAAATCGCTTAAACGGTTACAAAGCGTCTATTATATAGTTCAAATATTTTTTTGTTTCAAAATAATTTTTGTTCAGTGAATGAAGGAGCAAAATCTTCAGCATACTTCTTAACCTCACTCTTGCCATAATAAACAAAGGACAAGAATCCCATACTTCCTGTACTCCTTTTACCAAATACAACATTAGCAGTCACACCTTGCCCAACAAATATACTACTACGAAGAAAATACTATGAAATATCTTCTTCCAACGGTTACACAAACAAATCGCTATGGAAAGCCAGAAAAAATACTAAGTCTCCAGTATTTGTTGCACCGTTGAGAGTGTTCATGGGCTAGGATGGTTGAAGAAAGTGAGCCATGTTTTGTAAAGCACCCCAGTATAGCACTTCATCCAAATACAGCGCCATATACAGCTGGAAATCCTGAGCTCTGAACTACAAGGATGATTGCCGTCCTTGATTAATAATATCTTAGATCTCATTTTTGTGGATGAAAATTTGAAAATTTGCAAATCAGATATGCATCATGCCCCGCTGTCCCCTAGTCTAAAGTTTCCTAATTTTATCTCCGTTTCAGGCACTAACACTATTAAACGTTATAATTTTGGTAACGCAGATTTTCCTCCTTTGAATGCTGGTATTCTGGAAATCGACTGGAAATCGACTGGAAATCAGTCTTTTTTCTCTAAAAATGTAACGGTGTGCTAGGAAACCTTCTTATTCGAACTGAATGATTAATTTTCTAGCTGTATTTCTTATGTTCGCCATAGTTTGCACAAACTTCCGTGGTGTACGATGCGTTTAAAAAAGTTAAAAAATCTTGGAAACAAATTTTTAAAATTTATTTAAGCTCAGTAATGATCATTATATGAAAACTTTTAACATGCTCGATAAGTTTTTTTTTATACGCAATACTTTTTTCGATTTGAGCAAGAGTTAAAAATGAATCCAAAAGCCTTTTGGAAATATATCCGCTCTAAAAAAGGTTCTTTCAATATTCCCTCTTGCATGCCTTACTGTGGGAGCAATTCTGAAAGCACTTTGGATACCGTAAATCTCTTTACCGAATTTTTCCAATCTAACTATAGTGGGAATGCTGACACTTCCGTCTGCGATGACTTGGAAATTTCGCAGACTTTAGATTTCGGTAGTTCTTCAGTAACTGAATTGGATTTTTTGAATGGGATTGGTGCTTTGCAGCTCTCTTTGATTAGCAATTAGGACGGGCTTTCTTCTTATGTACCGAAAATGTGCAGTTCGTCTATTCCCGCTTCCTTGAAATTCATTTTTAATCTTTCATTGTCGACTGGTGTTTTCATATATCTTTTTAAAATTGCTTCCATCTCTACGTTGCTTAAATCTGGTAACAAAACTGACTTTAAATATTATGGACCTATATCTAAAGTATAAGTTCGCAACTTCACGAGAAAATGGTAAAGGATAAATTGTTTTTTTTTGAGGTTAAAGGCTTCGTTAGCCCGCATCAGCATGGTTTTATCAGCGGACGTTCTACTGTCCCTAACCTAACCGGTCTTTCTCGTTATTGCATTGCATCTTTCAGAAGGGATATCAAGTTGATGTCATCTATACCGATTTTTCCAAAGCCTTTGATACTGTCCTAGCTTTTTATTACGTAGCTAGAGTGACTAGGTTTTCGCTCTTCGTTTCTATCTTGGCTTATACCAAGTCACTCCGAGAGATTATCTTTTGTTGAATTGGATAATTTGAGATCTTATGCCTTTGAAGCCACCTCTGGGGTACCTCAAGGTAGCATTCTTGGTCCACTATTATTTCTTATTTTTATAAATGACACTGGAACTTGCTTAAGGAACTCAAATTTCTGCTGTATGCAGACCACCTAAAACTATTTTAAGGCATTCGCCGTTTTTCTGATCCTTTACTTTTACAGGAGGATCTTAACAACCTAGCGGATTTGAGCATTCGGAATAATTTGCCCTTGCTTACTTTTTTACGGCGGTATGGTGGTGATTTCAAAGATCCCTACACGCGTAAAATTGTATATCACGCTTTAGTTCGTTCAAAGCTGGAGTATTTATTCTAAGCATTCCTCAAAGCTTGAAACCGTCCAACGTAGGTTTATTCGTTTCGCTCATGGGCCGCTCCATGTCTCTGACTCCCTACCTTCTTATACTTCTAGATGTATGCTAATAAATATAAAATATTATATCTTGCTCTTCGACGATCTATCCAGTCATTACTATTAATTTATGATATCAATGGCATAGTGGACTGTCCAGAGCAGCTTCAGCAAATCAGCTTTAATGTTTCTCATAGAAATTTGCGCTCTCATTATCCATTCTATTTAGATGTAATTCAAGCCAATTATCCTAATATCGGCCCTATTGTTAGAGCGCACTCTGAATTTAATAAAATCTCTAGAAGACTTGACCTTGATTTCGCATTCCGGGGATCTCGCTTTGGCTCTATCTTAATGCTTTTTATTCTTAGTATACATTTATAGTTTGAAGTCTTTAATTAATTTGTTCTTCTAGTCTGTAAGTTTTGTGAATCATAAACTGAATAAATTGAAATTGAGCCAAAATAAAAAATGCAATCACATAAAAACCAAAGATGCTAAAAGAACTATCAGAGAAACAAACATGGAGAAAGTCGCCGTAAATTTTGGTGGCTCAATTATATAAAGACACAACCGAGCCGTCATCATATAGACCTCTGTCTGGTGTCTTGTCTTTCTGCTTTATTCAGTACCTTAAATTATTTGAAGAATGGCCAACAAAATAGTGCGTTCAAGTCAACGAAAATATGTGCCAAAATACAAAAACAATACATTAAAGCTAGAACCGAGCCCTACTGTGAAGCTCTAAAATATACCAATGCCGCAAACTCAAAAAATTTTACGATGGGATGAACGAAGTTTCGATCAGTCGGTTTATTTTTGTTAAATCTAAACTAGATCCTTTGCAATTACTTTATTAGTCTTCTTTTCAAATTTTAGAACGATGGGCCAAAATGGAGACGAGAAAAAACAAGACAGCTGAGGGTAGCTCAGCTCCACCACCAAAGTCCAAGATTGACGGAGACCCACAATTGACACAAGAATTGATTGCAAATTGATTGGGCTTGAATGTCATGGCTACATCGCGAATATTAAGTAACCATCCAGGTTACACGAAGAAATATGCTCCAATAGGCCCAAAAAGAGGCTCGAGTGCAAGTTGTTCAATTTTTCCTAAACAAATTCGAAAATAGTCAGTCCAGCAACTTTAGTAAAGTCAAGTGATGGCGAATCTTGGTGCTTCATGTACGATCCAGAAATGGAACAGCCGTCCTTATTATGGATCCCAACAGGAGTAAACCCACCCGTAAAATCTAAGCTGCAAAAATTAGCAGCAAAAGTAGTCATGTCAGTTTACTTTCCCGGTCTAAAATTGTAGTTGCTAATCCAATAAAAAATTATCAGACGGTAAGTGCAAAATGATACACCGAAGAATGCTTGCCAAAAGATTTCAAAAATTTGTTGGAAAACGGGAGGAAAGAGAAGAGCCGTCTAAGAACGGCTGATGGTGTTTTTCATGAGGATCTTTTTGATTTTCAAGCCAGTAATACACACGCGGGAGTTGACATTCCCTGTCGAGGGGTGTCCGCAATTAGAAAATGTAATTTAATTTTTTATTTATATAAATTTTCTATAACTTTTGGATGTTGGTCGCACGGCGATTTGAACCCGAGCCTTCCGAATAACAGTACGCAGTGCTAACCACTCGGCTACCGCGGCCGCCAGTCCGTGATCGAATTCCCGGAAATCTATTCTATCTATCTTTTATTCTTAAATCCTGAGCCTTACAAAAGTAAACGGAAAAAAGTTTAATCTTTTGTTATGCTTCCACCACATCTCGGCAACGCTTTGGTATTGATAGGACTAATTTCGCTGGGTAATCTGGATCTATATTGCATCTTCCATTAAAACCTGTTGCAACTGCTGCTTGTTTGAAAAGCTGCGTTTTCTTAATTTAGACTCCAAACGAGAGGTGTTCTAGGGTGTTCTAGTGAGTTTAAGTCTGGGCTTTGTGGAGGTGTTTTTATAAGTTTCTGACAGTGTTATGCGCAGATCGCTTCGGATAGTATCTTCTTAATAGAACTGAAAATAAATACCGATCTCAGGTTTTCTGCACTACGTCTCAAGTTTTGCTTCAATACATCGATGTAGTATTTGTTATTCATTATTCCATTTATTCCATTTAATATTTCCCACACCAGATGACGACATACATCCCCAAATCATTGATCGACCACCAACATGTGTAAAAGTAGCCACGGTATTGCGTTCCTCTAGCTCCGCATTTAGCTTTCTGTACTCAATTATTCTATCATCAGGCCAAATATTACAATCGACCTAGACGATATTGGTTTTTTACATAGCTTTTGCAAAATTTAGCCATATAATTCGGTTGGTTTCATTGACGAATGATTTCTATCGTGCAGTTCTTCCTCCATAACCAAACATTTTGAGGGGATTTCGAATGGTCTGTAGTGTAATGTCCTTACCCAAAAACTCTTTAGTTTCATTGCAAAGTATTGCGCCATTTCTTTTTGAAGTTTTTTGAACTTGGCGAACTAGCCGAAGCTGCGGAAAGTGCGTTAGGCCGACTGTGTCTTTCTTTTTTCTCGACCGATTTGGTTTCTTTCCATTTTTTTATTATGTACTGAACTGTGCTTTTTGGCCTGTCCGTTAGTTAGCCGAAGTTATCGGTCAAACCCACGTACAAAAGATTTATTCATAAAAAGCTTACGTAACATTTATTTTCAACTCTTTATTTTCCATCATCAGAAGAAAGAATTTTTCCGCATACATTTCATACACATAATCTCTATAAGCCAGGGCACTGCACAAAGCGCCATAAAAAAGTTCAAACAGTGGAATGTAAAAATGTAATCTTGTGTTAGATCGCGCAGCAAACCAACCACGGGACCAATGGCAAACATTATATTGCCTTGCAGAAACATGAATAGACCATATCCAGTGGCGAATCTGAGGATAAATTATAAATAACCGTTGTGTAATTAGTTATCTCTACTCGCTCGAAACACCGTAATAACGCACCTCTGCTTTGGCAAGTATTCTGCGAAGACGAGCGGCAGTGGGACATGGATCCATGTACGCAGGAATCCCATTGCGGCCGTGGTGAAAGCCATGTCTCTGAAGTTGTAAACATTCAAAAAAGCTACGAGTAGAAAAACAAATGTATAGGCCAAACAATGTTTTGTTATTAACATCAAATATTATACATAAGTACATACAAATGTGATAGGTTTGTGTGTTTACCACACACACTCCACACAAGCACCCCTACAGTGTCACACTGCATTGTGTAGTTATTGTGTCATATTTCATGGCTGCTTATCTCTGCCAATGTAAATATTGATTACATATGGTAAATGACGAGCATGCCGGTATTGTATGATTGTTTGTACGTAGTTATGTACACGTATGTAAATATGTGTTTAAAGCAAACTTAGTTCGACTCTTAAGTGAGGAGCTCAACGTGCAATAATTTCAGTTTGAGTTGTGTCATATGTCGGTTATAAATAAAGGAAGCGGATATTATTCCTACTGTTACTAATTACGTATGTATGTATGTATGTATGAAAGTATGCAGTGAGTAGGTAAACGTTGCTAGTATTTGATATAGATAAGCGTTTAGGCGTTGGAAGATCATAATTCATCGCGATAATCTCAGTTGAGCATGCGTTTATTGGTTTCCTAATTCGTCAACAGATTGCAAGTCAGCGGCAATTGTTATTGTTATTAGCGTGTCAAGGTTGTGGGTGTTCAAGTGTTCAAACTTACCAAAGCGCGCGATGAGTGTGAAGAAAGAGCCAGCTAAATATATATAGCGGGACGGTGTTTGAATGAATACAGCAGAAAATGCTAAAAATATACGAGAAGCTAAATCAGCAGCAGCCCCGATGGCTATTATACTGGCAGTGTCCGCCTGAAAATAGTCCAAGAAAAGTATATATTCAGCGCTTTCATTTTCAACCTCGCAAAAAGACGTTTAAAGCGCAAATCACCTTCGTAAAGCCCAATTCGAAGAGATAAAGCGGCTGCAATGTGAAGAATGCAATATCGGAGTAGAGCGCAAAAGATATGCCAAGTACGATATTAACATACACGGGTTTCTTTAGCAGCTTCAAGTCCAAGAACTCCACTAGAGTTTGCCAAAAGCCAGTTCGACCTCTCAGACCACCTACTTCCCTGTTGACTTCTAGTGTTGAGTGAACTCTCGTCATTTCCGGTGAAGCGTCAAGCACAACTATCGGTCCGGTCCAATTGCCAAGATTTGTAATGCTAGATGAACGACTGTTGAGATTGTTTAAATCCATTCTTGATGTAGCCGAACAAAAATTTTTGTTGCTCATCAGCGGTGAGAGGTAATTTTGGTTTAGTGGCTGTGCTTCTCTTCCCTCAGCATGTTTCGTATTCAGTTCATTGTTGTTTATACTTTTGATAACAGTTAATTCTGTATTTTGAACTTCAAGTTTATTTATGTTTTTATATCCAGTTTTTGTTGTCGCCTGCATTCCCGGATCCGTTTGCGCACTCGTCTTACGCATATGCCACTCCACTGGCTGCATCAATAGCATGCCCAGTATCGCATGAGAGTTAATCGCGGCCAATACCAGCAGACAACCGCGGAAACCGTACAGCTCCATTAGCATTTGCATGCCTACTGGGTAGAACATAGTCCCCAAGCCGATCAGAGACTGCGCGAAACTCATCCACATAACACGCTTCTTAACAAAATAATTATTGAAAGTCGTATAAGAAGTGGGCACGATCAACCCGAAGCCACAGCCTTGAATAATACTAAATGCGAAGAGTAGTTCCCAGGTAGAACGTACAAATATTTGCAGTATCGATCCGAAAAAGTATAGAAATCCGCCGAGCAGACCAATCGCCCGAAGACCAAACCAATTGAACAACGACCCAGAGAAGAGGCCGGCAAAGCTAAATGCGCAAAAGAAGGCGCTGGTTATGACAGCTACTGCGCTTGTTTCGGCGCCGATATTTTTGAGGAAATCACTAAATATCAATCCAAAAGATGGTAACGAAGCCAAGCCACTGATCTGTAAGACAATAAATTATCAGATATCAATGGTATAGCAAGAGAGAGGAAATCACACGGATGACTCACAAATGGCAGCGCCATGCCGATGCATACGAAAACACCCCATCCTCCGTCGGGTGCCTCTAGTTGGACTTGTGTCTTCATTGTACAACCTCTTATTTGAATTGTTTAGACTTGACTGATCTCCCGTGGTTTTTTCAGCATCCATTGTAGTTACTCAGTCTATTTTAATCAGACCGACAGTAAAAGTAAAAACACAAAGGCAAAAAAAAAAAAAAATAAAAACAAATGATAAGATAAGTTCTGTAATGTGCGTAACGGAACAAGATCTCGCCCACGTTATGATTTACGTACGCTCATCTGTGCTTCTATTTGCCTGATGCAGTAGCTGCTTCGATCGCAGTTTTTTCACATTTTTCATTTTTCATGTTTATGTTTTTCACACCTTTGGGAAATAAACGCATAAATTAGTGACAGACGAGTAAATATATTGTAAGAGCTGTGGCTTAGGACGTAGATCTGCTCTCTATAAATCAAAAGTACATTCATTCGCCAGGTTTTACCATCCAGTTAAATGGTATCATACTAAGGATAATATCACTATTGGTATATTATAAAAGTTTTCATTCACTTGAAAATAAATAATAAAGGGTTTTCCAACAAGAGGTGCTACTTTGAATAACCTCCTATTTCGGTAAATGTCACCTTTGAAGTAGCAAATTCTGACACTTGACGAGCAATAATTTCGCCAGAATTAAAAAGGGAATGTACACGCTTCAACAAGGATTGAAATTATGCATTCAAAAATCATCTTGACCACTGAGGCCCATTTTCAAAACTATCTTATCTGGAGCTCGGAAAAACAAAGAAAATGTTAACAAAAGTTGTGTTTATGATTCAATTCTGCTGAATTTTTATACGAAGATATCTTTATGTCTAGATACGAGAGGACTTTCATATTAAATGATTAATCGAATCAAATCCTTTCAATTCCTTTATTAGCCTTGCTTTCAATTTTTAGAACGATCGGCTAAAATGGAGACGAGAAAACACAATATAGCTGAGGATAGGTCAGACTAAATTCCACCACCAAAGTCCAAAATTGACGGAGACCCACGATTGACACAAGAAATGATTGCTAATTGGATTGAATGTCAGGGCTGTGTCGCGAATATTAAGTAATCTTCTGGGTTACACGAAGAAATCTGCTTCATTTTAAATGAGACCTAAAGACTCACCCGTAAAATCGAAGCAACATAAATCAGCAGCAAAAGTAAGGTCGTCAGTTTACTTTACCCAATCTAAAATTGTAGCTGCTGTTTCAATGGAAAAGGGTCAGACGGTAACGGCAAAATGATGCATCGAAGAATGCTTGCCAAAAGATTTCAAAAATTCGTTAGAAAACATGAGGAAAGAGAATTTGCGGCGCTACTGCTTACATCATGACAACGCACCATACCACACCGCTGATCTCTGGGATCGAAGAAATAAGCCCAGCACCATATTCCCTGGATATAGCACCTTGTGAATTGAAAAAATTAAAAGGAAAGGTCTTCAATGGCAACGAGGAGATAGTTAATGTGGTTAATGCTGAACTTGATAAACTTAAAAAGCAAGATTTTGAAAACTGTTTTCAGAAGTGGATCTGTAGGCTTAAGAAATACATTGAAATCAATGGCGATTATTTAAAGAAGATGAAAAGAACACAAATTACAATCAAATACGAGAAGAATTTTTAATTTTCCAACCTACCGAGCTTTTGTTAATCTTCTCGTAAATCTATTGTATAACAATTTTATTTCCCTTCAATCAATTTACTTTGTGATTTTGTAGCTTTTTGGCTTAAATTAACATATGGTATACTGCATTTCCGGAAAGGTGATCACTGAACAAGAGACCTATGGAATTTGGTGTTTTATATTTTCGTGGTACTTATAGGGCCCAGAAGTTCTCTTGAATTGCGACAACGGAATTCAGGGGAGGTTCTGGTCCTTCAGAAAAATTATATAAATATTGCCTACATCCTCTTCTCCGCCAAAATTTTGAGTTTAACGATTTTAAATGATTTAATAAAATATATTGAAAATAAACTGAAAGCTGAGTATTCTTATCCATTCGCACCACGTGATCTAGCCAGCGCAGCCGCTGTTTCTTGAAAGCTAAACTTTGTCAATGTCGACGTATATCTCATACGGCTCACCATTCCATCGGCTGCAGTATTCGCCATCTCAACTCGAAGAGGACCATAAATCTTATGCAAAACTTTTCTCTTTGGAAAACTCTTAACACCGACTCAACAGATGTTGTCATCGTCCATGCCTCCGTACTATACAGCAGGACGGGAACGAGATGCATATAAGGTTGTCAAATATCTCACTTCCGCTTTTTTGCCCTTCATCAATGCTTTATAAAAAGTGTTACAGTGATCGGATTTAGTTGAAATATGAGCCGTTTTGTTCGATGATCTGTTAATTAAGCGTCTGGCCATATGGGAGCAGTTCATCTCCTGGGCGATGTCACGAGATGCCATATGCCGGTCTAACTCGATGTATTCCATGATTTGATCGGTATTTGTCGTCACAGGTCTTCCGCTGGCAGGCTTATCCATGGTGTCGTTTTCACCGTCTCTGAACCGTCGAAACCATTCCTCCACGGTTCGAAGTGATAGAGTACCATCTCCCAAAACACCATTAATCTCACGGAACGTTTCTCTAGCGGATTTGCCTTTAACGAAGGAAAACTTTCAAATAGCGCGAATTTCGGCGTTAGTAAACTCCATGTTTACACGTCTATAACTGTTGAACGCAATATCCAAACTAATCATGCAGCGTTGTTTTGTAGGTTATGTCAAGACCTTTCAAATTATGTATAGTGTTGCCAGATACGAGCTCTGTAGCGCTTTGTACATAGCCGCGAAATTAAAAAGACCAAATAGCGGAAGGGAGATATTTGACAACCTTGTCAAATTTTGTTTATATTGTTGTTGGCGAAGCGAAAAATTGCGAAGTAGAGACGCTAGTTATCCTTTTTCGTTAAGTGATAACACATTTTGGCATCTCATAGATGAGCTGGCCCCACATGATATCCAAAAAGAAAAAAACCTCACAGGCTTCAACTTTCCCATGTGTCAGTCGTTTCTTTCTTGAAGCTTGCTTATTGTAAAGATGAGGGGGAGAAATAAAACTTCCCTGTTCGGAAGGGGCAGAGAGTAATATAAAAACAGGGTATATTAATGTAAATAAAAAAGCCACTTAAGTTGTATATTCTCTTAATTTATATTAAAATAGAAAGGGGTTCTATATTATCAATGTCGAAGCAGTTAACTTTGTTGTGTAGATGAGTCAACGCAATGTATTGGGTTTTAACATAAGTTTGTAGAATTTGCATTTTGAGTTATTTAAAACGATTTTTTTTGCTGTTTAGCAAAGTGCATGTATTCATTCAAAAGAGCTCTTCCTCCCCTACATAGCGGTTTTATTTATCTTTTTTGATAATTTTATCGTCTGTTATTTTTCAGGCTCAGATATGGAATATCGAGGAGGAGGATAAGGCTGTATATTCGGCATCTGTTTTTTGCCGAGCAACACGTGGGCATAAAAAGCTTCAATGTGAAGCAAAGAAAAGAGTAGGTGGCCGCAGAAGAGACGCCGAAACCGAACGTCAAGCACGATCTTCACCAAAAAACGCCATGATCTGCGTTTGGTGGGACTGGGAAGGCATGGTGCACTGGGAAATGTTCGAACGAAACGCCACTGACAACAAGGAGCTCTACATTGCCCAGCCGAACCGTGTAAATGAGGTTTCTCTGCTGAAAAGGTCAAGTTTTGCCCCACGACAACGCCAGGCCCCATTCGTCAAAACTGCGTTCCAAGAGCTCGAATGGGAGGTTCTTCAGCATCTACCGTTCTCTCCGGATCTTGCACCAACCGTCCAACACCTTTTCCGCGCTCTGTCAAACCAAATGAGGGGTGTTACCTTCGATGGCGAAGAGGACCTTAAAATCTGGCTCAACAACTTCTTCGACAGCAGACCGGCCAACAGTAACGGAGAATACATCATTGATTAATTTATTATTATAATAATGGTTTTTTGTTCTCTGTGAAAAAAACTCTTTGGACTTATATTACAACCCAATATAAATGTTTTGATTCTCAGGTGAATCTCATAGAGATCTTGCTGATTTAACGCTTTTAACAATCCCTTGCAAACGAACTAATAAAAATCGTATTCAATTAGTTTATTTTAGCTACGACAAAGGGAAATCGGCTAAGGAGTTAGCGGAAATATTTTCCAACAAGCTTAGAACGATTTATAACATTATTAAACGCGCAGAAGAAGAAAGCAGGTTGGAGTTAAAGCGACTCGACCTTTCAAAAAATTTAAAGCAGATCAGTGATACTACTCAAACTCAAACCACCCTGTGAAAATTGGAGTCAGATATTAAAAACGATTGCCATAAAACAGTAAGTCACGAGACAATTCGAAAAGTCTTAAGAATACACAAGTACTCCTCGCTAATAGCTATAAAGAAACCATTGTTGTTGGTAGTTAATAATGAGAAGCGGCTCAACTTTTCTATTACCAGTGTTTGCAGGACTGCAGAATACTGCGATGACGTTTTGCGACGAGATACATCATGATGGACCCGATGAAGTTTGGAGTAAACGCAACACAGCCTTGTAAATTTTACTGTTGGGTAAAATTTGGCAAGCTTTCTGTAATGGTTTGGGGTTGCATCTCGTCTAGAGGTGTTGGTGAGCTTCGAATTTCGAATGATATGATAACGAAGGAGTTTTACTCGGACATTCTAAAGAAAGAATAATCAAGGAGCGCGATAAGATTTGGATTTGTTGATCATGAAAGCCTAAAAACAAACTGTACCAGAACAACGATCCTAAACATAAATCATTGCTGTGCAGGGCGTGGCTACTATATAATTGCAGTAAAGTGACTCACACTCCTGCCCTGACTTAAACCCTATAGAAAATTGATGGGCTTTTTTAAAGAAGCGAGTGTGCAAACGGGGCCCAACTAATAAAAACGCCCTTATTAACGTCATTCAGGAAGAGTGGAAAAAAATACCTGAAAATTATGACTTAAATAACCTTATCCGATCCATGCTCCGTCATCTTCGAGCTGTTGTAAATCAAGTGACCAT